GAAAAGACCCGACCGTGCGGCGCACACCACTCCGAATAGGGCGTGCCCACGCTCATGTTCGGCCCGACTCCCATTTACTGCCGATTTCGGGCCGGTGTATCTGGGCCTTTAAATGGTTCTCCTCTCTCCTGCAGTCAGCTGTGATTTCAGGCGTACATGCTGCCGACCACCTCCTCCCCATCCACCTCCTTTCATCATATCCAGTGCCAAGAGAGCGAATCCAAGACCTCATCACATCCCCTTATCAAATCCAGATCTTCAGCATCATCACCAGTGTCTAGACCCCGGGGGGGTTCCCTATATGCTCACGGCTGCATTTCCCCCTTTAGATATACAATTTCAGGATTGGGGTTTTATCGCCAAAGACTTAACATTTATCCTATGGCGTGTGTCAATAAATGTTCTTTAAACAAAATGAAGTCTCTCCTGATTGAACTCCCTCTATGTGAGTCACTTCTTCACATGATGGAAATGTATAAAGATGAGTGTGACTGACAGTAAAAGGGTCAGGGGATGGTTTTATTCTTCCATACTTACACTGATATCAACAGGGACATGTTGCTTTCACTTGAGATTGGATTTATTGCTGTTTCCCTCACGTATTTAGATTACTGCAGTATAGTTATTGGCTGTGTCTTCTGACCCATCTGAATTTCCTGTCGGCAGCGAACCAAATAGATGTTGTTCATAGAGCATGCCTTTTCCCCAAATCACCTCTCGAAACATAATTTGTCTTCTTGGAAGTTGGAGCGCAAATAGAGACTTGGTTATTTTATAATGTGCATTCGAATTAAATGATATGTACCCATTTAATTGTTATTACATTATATTAGTTATAATATATTTGATCTACCGTTAGCTTTTTCTTATTTCATATTAAAAATGTGTCTTTGTCACAACAGCCGACTGGATAACAAACTGTAGAAGTGGCTGTTTGTCAGCGACTACAACAGCAAATATGTCTTGTTTAAGCATGCAAATAAAGAATTTGATAGTATTAATTCAGAAATGATTTGAATTGTTGGCAGATTGTTTAGTTCCTTCCTAAATGCCAGGATAATCTCATTGAATTGCCTTTTATCAGGCGTTATCTTATCATGGTTAGAGGCAAGTCATTCTTCAGCAGACGTGTTTGACTATGATTGTGTGATAATGTGTACACGTATACAAGATAAAATCTCAGAGTGTTATAGTAGTATTGTATTGTGTAAATAATCTGTTTAACTCACTTGTATAGACGTGTGGCACATGAACCCTCACTATCAGAGTCATTTAAAAGAGAAACCTTCATATCATACATTTACATAATGGATCATACAGTTCAATCTGATTTGAGTAATATCTATAGAAACTTTCCCAGCTGTTGAAATGAGAGTTAGTTTTTTTTAACTAAACTTTATCTGTGACCATATATTCGATTAAATTATTTAGAATGAACCAATGTGCTGGGAGCTGTGTGTACCAATTATATAAGAGAGGTCAAAAGGTTTGACAGACCAAGTATTCCATGTTGGTTTTTGCCTCAAGTTTCAGTTGAGTTTTTATGTGTTTATTGCACTGTTGTTGCATGGAAGCTCATATGTACTCCTAGTTTGCGTCATAAAGACTCCCGTATACGTGAAAACGAAAAGGCTGAAGTATTGCACAGAGGCTGTAGTCACTTAAAATATGTTCCAGTTTTTTTTAGTTTGTCATTAACTCAAATGTTACTGTCTTATGTGTGACCCAGTGCAGATGGTATGTGTTATGAAAACTGCAATAGAAACGGATTTGGTCAAATCTTGTTTTAGTTGAGGCTTTTAAGACATCACAACAAATATTTAACAAAAAACAAATGGAGACATCCTGCCAATATATGACATGTGCCAAAGGACTACATAAACATAATTCCAATCTATGCGTGCACACGCACGCACGCACGCACGCACGCACGCACGCACACACACACACAATTAAGTTTTGGTTTGGAGTTTCAAAAGTTGATGTGGTCACCCATCTACCACATAATGAGCACTGCTTGGCCACTCATTACCTACTGACAGCAATAAAGCAGACACACCCAGAGCTACCATGGGCAAAAGGTTAAACCATAAAACTTGTCTTCATTTGAAAACGCAGACAAACGAGCGCTAACAATCCCAGGTTGTAAATGTGACCGAAGCCCAGTACTCGCCTGATTGGCTCGGTTTGACGTGTGATGTCATCGCTTAGGAGGCCCTGACAACTTGGTAATAAAACAATACCAAGATAAGGGTAATCAACTCCTTAAAACCAACAGAACGCAGGAATACTACGCCTGAGTGGACACGTAGACGCAGGAGGAAGCACACAGTGACAAAAGGACACTGTATTCAATAGCAGGTGCAGTAGCTACAGCTTGAGGAGTCGTACCTGGTGGGAAGACGAACCAAAAAAGAGGAGGGCAAAATCAAGAGGATCTTTTAATACTTGCTGGAAAATAAGAGGGGGAAAGAGAAGGAAAACCGTGAGAAAGAAAATCTGATAAAGAGGAACCAAGAAGAGAGGAAGGACAGATAAAGGAACTTTTGATTCAAAGAGGGCACTTCTGTCTGAGTGCACGATGGTGTCTTTGGCTCTTGAACTGGTGGGCGTCATCCTGTCGGTGGTCGGCGTGGTGCTGAGCGTGACCAGCTGTGCTTTGCCCATGTGGAGGGTCTCCGCCTTTATTGGCTCCAACATTGTCACAGCGCAGGTGTACTGGGAGGGCCTATGGATGAACTGCGTCTTCCAGAGCACGGGGCAGATGCAGTGTAAGATGTACGACTCCATGCTGGCCTTACCTCAGGACCTGCAGGCCGCCAGGGCTCTCACCATCGTGTCCATCATCGTGGGGGTGGTGGCTTTACTCATATCTGTGGTGGGAGCAAAGTGCACCAACTGCATCGAGGATGAAGGGGCAAAAGCCAGAGTGATGGCCGCCTCTGGGGGCGGGTTCATCACAGCAGCTCTGACCCAGCTGGTGCCAGTTTCCTGGTCCGCACACACCATCATTATCGAGTTCTACAGCCCACTGATTCATTCCGGTCAGAAGATGGAGATCGGGGCGGCGCTGTATCTGGGCTGGGCCGCCGCCTCATTGCTGCTGATTGGAGGGTCCATCCTCTGCTGCAGCTGCCCTCCGAGGGAAGATACACCGACGAGGTACAGCATGCCCCCCCAGAGTCGCATAGCCTACTCCGCCGCACCGAGGTCAATTGCTCCCAGCTCCTACAACAGGAGGGACTACGTGTGAGGGAAGAGGAGAGGACCGAGGGGAGAGAAGGAGGAATTGGGACCTCCATTATACTTTTTACAGAAATGTAGTGGAAATATTGATTGTCTTAGTTTAACTAGAAGTAGTTGTTCAATGTAAAGAGTTTTTGAGACAAACCAGTTTGAGGACATTTAGGATCAATAATGCGTGTAAATATGAAGGCAGTTTTGGAAAAATAGATATAGAAGCTCTATATAGATGTTTGATGATACTGTTTACAAATATCTTGGTCTAAATCAAGTTTCAGAAGATTTGACCAAATAGGAGATGTTTAAAAAAGTTGTTCATGTGGATGAGGAGACTTTCTCCCATGTATATTTATTATTGTTCCTTTACCATTTACGTTATAAATATTCTTTATTGTACTGACCAGTGTGTACAAACCTGGTATCATACTGTCAAATATTGTAAAGCAAGTAAAGACATTGTTGATAATTTAGTCGAGCAAAATGGAGCTCAATTTGGGCTCCAAAGCAAGGTCAACATGGCGAAGGACTGTACAAAGAAGTGTTGTTAAATGATCATGTTTGATATGTCAGTGATTTCCTATCTCTTTCACATGATATGGCTGTGTTTAGACAATGTCTACATGCTTTTATATAACATGGGTTTCGTTTCATTAACATATGTTTGCCTATAATCAGAGAACATTTTGAGTTTGCTTTAAGAATGCAAATGTTTTTTTAAATGATTAAAATAACTTAAATAATAAAGTGATAAATATATTCACTGTGAAACATTATTTGAGCCTAATTTATTCTGGTCCAATTTAAGAAGGATTAAGATAATCGTTCAACGTTTCAATACTTGGCTTGAAAGAGGAAATAAATCATAGCTTTTTTACTAAAGCTATGAATACGTTTTTTAATCCACTTAAAAAAGAAGGGTCACATTTCAAAAAATGTAAAAGAAAAAACATAATGTGCCATCAAAGTGTTTTTTGGTTTTTGAGTGGCCAATTATTTCCCGGGTCATACATAAACAAAAACAAAAAAGATCACAAAAAAGGTTTTAACTTTATAGACAATAAGAGCTTGAATATCTGTCTTAACAATAGGCTTAAATAGGTACTTGTAAGATAAATCAAAGAAGTTCAACTACAATAAGCAAAAGTAAAATTAAAATACAAATGGTTCCTTTCCTTCACAGCCCAAAATAGATTATGGATTCATAAGACAAAAGAAGGCAACAAGTCACTTGAACAGATTAATCCCTTTACATTTGTTCTAACCTTCTTGGATTTGATATTTGAGAACCTTTTATGACCACTGCATAAAGGAATATGTTGATGTTGTCACATTCAGCCTTGCGTGTGACGGTTTACTTCCTTTTAGACTCTGCTGTGATGAAATGTCAATTCTGGTGTGTGACTCAGTGTCTGACCACAGATACCAGCTCTTTCCTGTTTTGAATAGTCAAAGTATCTCTCTGTTTTCCAGCAGCTGTGCTCAGGTACAGCAGAACGCCTCAATTATTCAGCAGGAACATAAGAGCTGACCTATTTCTGCTTCTCTGAACAACACGGAACAAACCTTTTTAATTTAAGTTTTTTTAACTAACTCTTTTTTTTAAATAATGTCCAGCAATAAGTAAGTATAAACACAAAATATAATATAGCTTACTTTCAGTACCAAATCTAGAGTCATCATGCATACGTTTAAATAATGAGTATTATATTATTTGATTTAAATGACTTATTAATTAATATGTTCATCAATTACATTTTGCAGCCGGTAAAAGTGTTACTCATTTTAATGACTTTGCTGGACATTTTCCTCCAGAGATCCACAAAGTCTTGTGTTAACCTGTTATAAGACCTTATCATTTATTATTTGACTATATATTAAATCATTAATATGAATCCTCCAAAATCCCTCAAATATAGAGTAGTAGGAGTATGAAGTTAAGTTTAACTACCTCAAAATTATACTTAAAAATCGTACTTGAGAGTAAATATCATGAGTTACCTCCATCTCATAATTTAAACTCATAGGCCTTAGTTACTGAAGATGCTTTCTTCCACTGGAGTGATAACTTGCATGGTTTGATACAGGACATTTATATTTACTATAACAAAAACAGAAGCAATACGATTTATGTTAATGTTCCAGCTTTTGTTAAGGTGCCACAAGCAGCTAGTCAACAGCTGTTGTTACATAAACACGTTTGCACGACAAACAGAGCCTCCCTGTTGTTCTGCCTTGGGGATTGTTTACGTGTGATGTTGCTTTTATATCTTTTAGATCAATAATTGTGGCTCCCCATTCATTATGTGAGGTGATTTGAATACCAGTTTGTATCAGCCTTTTAGGGATCAGCAGTTGTCGCCTCTTGAGATTTAGGTATGGAGGGGAGTGATGTCTCCAAATAAGATAAAAGTTGCACACAAAAATGTGAAATGTGTCTAAAGGCATGCATGGAATTGAACATATATGCAGAATAAAAGTGCCATTGATTAATAAATAATGCTTGAAATGTTACTTTGGGTAAAGTTCAGCATTTTTTTTTTTAAAGA